TTTGAAGCACTTAAATGATGTTTAAGTAAAGTACAATTTTTCAGGGCTTAATTTCTGCACTTACCAAAACACTGATACCATTTAGGACCAGTTAAGATTTGTTCAAAGTTCAACAGTATTTAACAATGCCTTTACAGTTTTATTGACAAAGGGTATGAATAATTTTGAGTGAGTCAGAATACAAATAAAGTAATTTCTTTTTTGTTATGCAAATGAGGTTGTACAAAACTCATTCAGAATTTTTACCTTTCAAGTAAAGGTATCCAATTACGGCCAAAATATTCTGTATCCACCTGTTGTTTTCCAGAAAAAACACAAAACATTGAAATTTCAGTAGGGGTATGAATAATTCTGTTTTTAACTGTATGTATAATATCATGTATGATGTATGTGTGAAGTTTGATTTTGATTGGTCCAGGCATTTCTAAGATACAGGTTCGGACGCACGCACAGAGGTCAAAACATAAGTCCCCAATTTGGACGCAGTCCGAACAGGGACTAACAAAACAAGCACCAGCAACCTATCATATGCGCATGATGTTTCATAACCAGTTGGGTTTGAATCTGTGCACACATGTAAGCACATTTATGCATACACACACTAACATAGGGTCAATCGAGAAACCATTTCCTTCAACACACGACAGGGGCTAATGCATTTTCACTATATGAAATAAAATGTAAGCAGTATAATGATGTATGTATGTGTCAACATTGATATATTCCTCACAAAAATCAGTAATTTACCTTGAGTTCCTTGGCACCACCTGACACTGTGGCAGTAGATAGTTTCTGCAGTTGTTTTATACGCTCACTGAAATCAGAAATCCACTGAATGACAGTGATTCCTGTTGGTACAGTGTAAAGATTCCATGACTTTGGAAGAATACCTGAAATAAAAATTTTAAATGGTGTAAATATTTTGATTTCCAAGTTAATGAATGCAAGGAAATGCCTCGACTGACCCAGTCATGGCAATTTTATTGTTTTATATGGTAATTTCTATAGTTGGAGTTTATAGAATCATCCCTGTTGACATGAAATTTCTACGACTGGTGCCCTCTATAGTTGTCACCATGTTTTTTTAGGTGATAAATATGCTAATGAGTAGCATGACTTGTAAGCTGGCAACCAATAAGAAAGACAGCTTATGATCCGACTTGTTCTACACAAATATAATGCACACGTGATCTGACACATAGTACCTATGACTAGATGCAAGGCAATGCCAACATGGAAAGACATACCTTTAACAAGATCACCAATTAATGCTCTATGATAGTTGGTCTGTTTTTTCTTAGTGTCACAAACTTGAATAACTTCATTCAAATCTTGACGTACATCTTCTAAAAGTTTAGCTCCAAGGTTCACCTGTGGTGGTTAAGAAAGTTACAAAATTACAACTGCATCTCAAGCACAATAGAACTAGGTTGGAGTTCAACTGACATTAAACTGATCATTCTTTTTGTGGTTACTGCACTTAAAATGCCTTGAGGATGAAAGTAATATATCATATGTCCGATACCCAGTCCTGGACAAACTTTTGAAGACGGGTAATATTTGCTGGCTCCAAAATATCACGCAGGACTATCTTTTGGAAGCTTTTTATATCCATTATAGCTTAAATACAATAGTCATGGAGTTGAACAATATTTCCTCGTGATGCAAATAAAAATATAGCACAAGTTTCAAATAAAAAGACACTTTCCAGAAACATTATTTAACATGTGAAGAACTTTCTTATTATTGATTCTTACTGTAAAATCTGTATTAAAATGGTACGATGCAACAGAGGGAATGCAGCTTATATTAAAGCATCTACACAGAAATGGTGCATCTTGTTTTAATTGTTGAAAAAGAATGGATGTAGCTTCTATTAGGGATGCAGCTTATAATACAGCTGTTATGGTATTCATTTGTGATAATATCATACTTCTCTGGTCATAAGCCCCTCTCTGGGAATAAGCCCACCACTCTCGTTTTAGACATTTAATGAGTTGACAGCATCCCTGTGACTGTGCAGGTGAAATGCTATTCAACACCCAACACACACAAGCTGAAATGTTTTCATTGACCAGATAGGTCATGCTTGTTTTTAAACTGATCCTAATGCTAGAAATTTTCCAATTGCTTTGATAGTGAATGCAATAGGATCTTTTGACATTAAAACAAGCAGCCTATCGGCTGAGATAGCTCCGCTGTTAGCAATGCACATTTCAATTAAAAAACTGAAGACATCATTAGAAAATGAACAATATGAATAGTATCAAAGCAATCGGACTTACAGTTTTTAACAAGAAGTCGAAAATATCACTTTTTACCAAAAATTACAAAAATATTCACCAAAATTTAAAGAATTGAAGATATCATCACAAAATGAACAAATCTGAGAGAGGTCCACATGTAGTACCTATATATGTAATATCAAAGCAATCGAACTTGCGGTTTTTAACAAGAAGTCGAAAATATCACTTTTTACCAAAAATGACAAAAATATTGACCAAAATTAGAAAATTGAAGATATCAACATGAAATGAACAAACCTAAGAGAGGTCTACCCAAGATACATATACACCAAGTATCAGGCTTGTAGTTTTCAAGAAGAAGTCGAAAAAGTAAAACATTGACACGGACGACGCCGACGGACAATCACTCATATGATAAGCTCCGCTCGACAAAGTCGACAGCGGAGCTAAAAATGGCTTGTAATGAAGGAAAATATTAATTTCTGGAAGATATTAACAATAAAATGTTCTAAAAATGACTCCTATATTTTAATAGATCAGACATTTCTGAAACTTTTATATGCAACTTATAAAGTGACTGCTTTTTTGCTACGGAATGATTGCCCACCTGCTGAAACATTCATGCGTAAGGTTTTGAATGCGTGCTGCAATGGAAAAACACTAGAATTTGTTATAAAAACAATCAACTTCTATTAACACCATTGGAGAATAAACAAACAAAATGTTCAAGGTAAATTTTCAAATAGTTTACAAACCTCTCGTTCAAAAAATCTGAATAATGGATCTTTGATATTATCAGCTGATCTTTTCATTGTTGTCAGTGACTGTTGAAGAAAAGTATGATAACGTGTGTCAAGACTAACAAAATATTATGGCTCAATACAAGTTACTGTGTGCACAAGAAAATTTTAAACTTGATA